ATCGGCCAAGGTACCCGTACCCGGGTTTTGCCCTGGGCACCGTAGAAGTCACCATATATATATATATTTATATAACTATTTGGTGCACTTATTTTTTTTTTTTGTGCATTTTATGCACCCACTTCATAATCGTCATTTTGAGTTGGTGATTCATGTTAAAACAAAGTCAATTGTCACTTGTGATATGATGGACAAGAAAATACATGAAATTGCACAAAAATCATTCAAAATTTAATTTTATTTGAAGAATTTAGGGATTTAGGGTTTAAGGCCTAAAATTTGGAGTTTGGTGTTTGGATTCAGAAATGAAGGTTTAGGACCCACGGTGATGAATTGTTAGTTGTGATCATATGTTATACCTTGAATAATGCTACTAATTAAAAATCAAAATTTGATGTCTTAAGACTATATATTTAGACTTAGGTGCATAGTATTAGGGTTGTTAATAGGTTTGGTTCGAATACAATTGGAACTATTTAGTCGGTTATCGGTTGATCATTAAGCAATTTGTACTTATCGTTAACTACACTGTTTATATTAGTCGTTTAATCGTAACCGTATAGTCGGTTGTCATTATTTGTTAGTTACCTAACTAACCGTCAAATAAGTGATTTAACAAGGTTATACTAAAATAATCGACCGGTAACCTAACCAACAGAAAACCTCCACTTTTTCAAATTGTGCATTTTTGTTAGATTTTTTCCTAACATACCTATGTATTCTTTTTTCAAGTGTTAGCATTGAATAAAAAATAATTTAACATAGATATCAATCCATAATCAACTTAATCCAATACAAGTATACAATATTACCATTCTATTGTCAAATTTGATTATAGAAGCATACATGAATAAGAGGCCCAACAACAATTACTTAACCAAAATGAGATTTTTCCATGATGGTTATGTTATGTTGGTTATTCCGATTAACCAATTAAGCTTTGATTTGATCAATTCGGTTGTTGTGTTAATTTGACTAGTTTATTTAAGATCTTTTCCATGGTCAATACAGTTTAGCATTAAATGATTTGGTAATAACCATAGTAACCCAAAATTTGAATTTTTTTACACAGATGAAATGAGTTTATTGTGACATATAGAATTATATCAATTTTTGAAATATTTCGGGGCAAAATTTTCGTACCATCCATTACCACATGATACCTCTATGTACCACCGGTTAGGGTTAGGGTGATTACTTGTTTTTTAGTAATGACGGTGGCAACCTCTTTATATACCATTTGATTAATTATTTTCCCTTCTTTTTTAATCTTACGGTCAAGATTCTTTTTGGGTAATTTTGGAAATTAAAAAGTGACCACACCTGATTATTCTATATAATCTACCTAAACCCTAGTTCTATCCTCCCTCCAGCCAAACCCGTCGCAGCCGCCTCCACGTACCACTCCCGTCGCACCGCCGGCAGCAGCCCCCGACCACCCTCGGTACCCTCCCTCCCTCTCTCTCTCTCTATGCTCTCTCTCGCTGCTCTCTCTCTCTCTCTCTCTTCACTGCTGGAGAAGCTTGCTTCCGGCGACATCAACGACGAACCTATACCTCACATCATTCGGGATAAGATCAGGTGACTAAGGGGGGTCCCCTTAGTCACTTGTCTAAGTCAATCCTAGCCTTTCAAGTTCATTAAAATCCAATGGCTCTAATTAATTCAATTTAATGAAGGGTAGTGTAGTAATTACATGATTCATGATTATTTTATTTTCAGAAATTAATAATTAAAAAATCCAACAGTACCGACCCCGGCGGTCCACCCCGTCTCCTCGCCGGTCAAAATTTCCCGGCGGCGCATTTATTGGTTCGTCCACTGGCATTTATTTTTTTGGTTCGTCAGAGAGAGGGAGGCGTTCCTACCAGTGCCATTTTTTTTTGTTCGTCCCAGAGAGAGAAAGAGAGAGAGAGAGAGATTTTCTGAACATCGTCGCCGGAGAAGAATTTCCCGGCGACAGTGCTAATTTTGTAATGTTTGTATACTTTGTTATTTTGTAATGTTTGTCGGTTTTTTTTTTGTAATGTTTGTAAACTTTGTTATTTTTGTGCACCATATTTGTAAACTTTGTTATTTTTGTGCACCATGTTTGTAATGTTTTTTATGTCTAAAAAACAACCTGGTTGACTTTTGGATGGACCTCCTCTATATAGGGATGGAGCCTCCAAAGTCAACCCGGGTGTTTTTTCCAGTTCGTATGGATTGTCGATCTAGTTTGTCATTTTTTTCCACCATGTTCGTACTGTTTGTATGTCTAAAAAACACCCGGGTTGACTTTGGGAAGGAGCCCCTCTATATAGGGATGGAGCCTCCAAAGTCAACCCGGGTGTTTTTTCTTTTTGTATGGTTTGTATTGTTTGTCAGTCTAGTTTGTATTGTTTGTACAGTTCATACGTTTGTAATGTTTGTATGTTTTGTCGCTCTAGTTTGTACTGTTCGTATGTTTGTATGGTTTGTACTGATTGTAAATCCGGTTTGTATACTTCGTAATTTTTCATAATACCCAAACTACCCCTGCTATTAATTAAATAGCCCTTCCCACTTTTTAACCATTGGATTGAAGTGTCCAGATCTAATGGCTAGGAGGGGCTTAGTCAAGTGACTAAACACCCCCCCCCCTTAGTCACCAGATCCGCACTCACATCATTCTTCTCCAGCCGCTCCAAGGATGTGTTCACGTAGTCCATATTCACAACCTCAATCATGAAGCTCAACCCTTTCTCATTGCAGAAATCCAACATCTCCTCTGTTTCCTTCATGCTCTCTCCCGCTGCTCTCGTTCTTATGTTCAGTGGTATAGATTTAAAAACCTAGATCTAGTAATTTTTGTTTATTGATTCAATGTGCAGTGGTATAGATTGTTTATATTGGTAGTTTTCGTGTAATGGTATAAATTTATTTCTGTAATGGTATTGATTGTTTATGGTATAGATTGTCTATATTGGTAGTTTTCGTGTAATGGTATAGATTGTTTATATTGGTAGTTTTCGTGTAATGGTATAGATTTATTTCTGCAATGGTAGTTTTCGTGTAATGGTATAGATTTATTTCTGCAATGGTATTGATGTTTTTCAAAGTGGTAGTGTTTATCTAATGGATTGGTACTGATTTCGTTTTTTTTTTTTTTTTGCAGAAAGATTGAGAAAAATAAGGAAAGGAAATCTGGCCGGAGAATACGGAAGTGAGGGAAAGAGAGAATTTTAATTAATAGATATTTGTAACTACCTGAAATATAATTTATTAAAAAATTAATTAATATAATTTATTTTTCCATACCCAATTTACCCTAGATCTAGTAATTTTTGTTTATTGATTCAATGTGCAGTGGTATAGATTGTTTATATTGGTAGTTTTCGTGTAATGGTATAAATTTATTTCTGTAATGGTATTGATTGTTTATGGTATAGATTGTTTATATTAGTAGTTTTCGTGTAATGGTATAGATTGTTTATATTGGTAGTTTTCGTGTAATGGTATAGATTTATTTCTGCAATGGTAGTTTTCGTGTAATGGTATAGATTTATTTCTGCAATGGTATTGATGTTTTTCAAAGTGGTAGTGTTTACCTAATGGATTGGTACTGATTTCGTTTTTTTTTTTTGCAGAAAGATTGAGAAAAATATGGAAAGGAAATCTGGCCGGAGATTACGGAAGTGAGAGAAAGAGAGAATTTTAATTAAAAGATATTTGTAACTACCTAAAATATAATTTATTAAAAAATTAATTAATATAATTTATTTTTCCATACCCAATTTACCCTTAGTAACCACGGTGATTACTACTTTTGTAGTAATCACCGTAACCTGTCCCATGTACCACCATAATAGTTTAGAGAGGTAATATATGTTGTAAATTTTTTCATTAAAAAAAAATTATTGTAAATTTTTTGTTTCAAAATATATCAAAATTGATGATCACATTCTAAAGAACCATTAATATGATATTTTTTGTGTAAGAAGATTTAAATTCATACGTAAACGAACGAATAATAATTGGTGAAATTTAGTTGAAAGAAGTGATGTTAAAACAAAAGAAGCTCTCTCTTCAATTACCATATCTGAATGACTGAATCACTTGCAAAAGCATCTAATAAGAAATCCTAGCAATGGAAGCTCCTCGCCCATTAAAGTGTTAAGAGTGGCTCTAACTAGAACTCAAAAAGGATTATCGGTAGCCTTAATCGCGCAGGATTTCCACATTTGCATCTCTCCGCCTCTCAATCAGAAAGATCCAGGATATTTCACCCAAAAATAAATGAAGAAGAAAGATCCAGGATATTATTGTTATGTTCTTCTTAGAATAATATCTCGACCCGGACTAACAAAATTAAGCACAGTGACAATATGCTTTGGCCAATCAATGGAGAATGGCTGATGCCGTGACACTCTCTGCTCCTCCAAATATTTAGTATATTATTACTACTCTTCTTTTACCCAGTATTTTTATAGGTGGTGGTAGCAGGAGAATCCAGACCCTATATAGACCTTTCATCGCCAATTCGCCATGCCTCAGAGAAAAAAATGGGCAAAAAAATACTATCAAGAATATATTTCTGATAATACTAGTGGATAAGTATCCACAACGCTTCTTTCTTCACTACAGAACAAAGCCCTTTTTTAATTTCTGCCCTCCCTTTACTTCCTCTCAATTGTATATTTCTCCAATTGTGCTGCTCCTACTTGTACAGATCGTCTCATATCAGCCATGCAACTCCACCCCATTCTTCATTATGCCACCTCCTAGCTTCTGCCTAATCGAACAGGTAAGAACCCCATTTGAGCAAGTTTATTGATTTCCCGTGTAGCAATCTAAAGTAACGATCTTTGGCATGCATCTAGTGATCTGGCTTCGAAATTGATTACTTTTGGCGACTTTGCCGTCCTCGGTTTCTTGCTTGTTTCATGTTCTGCTTTGAGAGTCTGATCATTGAGAAAGGCACAGAGGCCAGTTGGGTTCACTTGTTGAGATTTCTGGTAACTGATTAGCGCTTACCTATATATATCTTGGTTGGGACTAAGTTGTGAATTAGAGGTCTTTATCCTTCCTATTTTGCTATATTCAGTGGCTTGTTGAGGTGTGTATGGCTTGAATTGAATAGGATACATAATTTCTCGTCTTTGGGATCGGTTTAGAAAGGTTATTTATTGATGTTTTAATGACTGTCCGGTGTGGTTCAGGAAGGAAGATGGCTAGATGCCAAGATGGAACAATCACAAGCAGCAAACTGGTTGAAGCTTCTCCCATTGTGGTAATATATACATTCTTGTTCATTTTCCTTCTTAAGCTAAACCATCCATGATTTGGATCTGTTAGTTGTTAAATTCCTCTGGAGCATAAGCAGTTGAATTTATTTCTGTGGTAACCAATCTTGCTAGAGCGATTCTGCTTTATGTTTTGGTGCATTGTCACTTTACTGTGAGCAACATGAAGAAAGGCCTTGACCTTGCTTATTGGTTGTCTTGTTCATCGTAGATGAGATAGTGCCCTTGTGTTTCTCTTTTCAGTCGAGGTGACAGTCTGATGAAAAAGCTTGTGACTCATTATGAACTCACAGGACCGATTTCGCCCAATCTCCTTGAATTCACAAGTTCAACCATCCTGTCCATTCTGTACAGGCAAGAATGATAGTTGCCAGATAGTCCGATCAAGAACTAAGCTAATGAATATTATGATGAAGAGAAGGAAGCCCAAAGAAGCCGAATCCATATTCGATGGTCTAATGGAAGATGGACACAAGCCAATCCTTCTAACCTACACCACTCTTGTTGCTGCATTGACTCGTCAAAGGCGTTTCAAGTCCATCCCCTCTTTGATATCCAAAGTTGAAGAAAGTGGGCTTAAACCTGATTCCATACTCTTCAATTCGATCATCAATGCATTTTCTGAATCTGGAAATGTAAAAGGCGCAATGATAATTTTCCAGAAGATGAAGAGCAGTGGATGTAAGCCCACCACCAGCACTGTCAATACTCTTATCAAAGCATATGGAAATGCTGGTCAGCCCGAACAAGCTTCAGATTTGTTGGAGTCATTGTTAAAGGAAGAAGACGTGAAGCCAAATGAGAGGACATACAATATACTAGTTAGAGCTTGGTGTAACAAGAGAAACATTGATGAAGCTTGGAATGTGGTAGACAAGATGGTTGCATTTGGTTTTAAGCCAGATGTTGTCACATTTAACATACTAGCTAGGGCTTATGCTGAGATAGGCATGACGAGCAGAGCAGAAGACTTGTTGTCTGAGATGCAGAGAAATAGATTGGCGCCAAACGAGCGGACTTGTGGTATCATTGTGAATGGATATTGCAATGAAGGTAATATGGTGGAAGCCTCCCGGTTTGTGTACAGGATGGAAAACCTTGGAGTGCATCCCAATCTCATCGTCTTCAATTGTCTCATTCAAGGATTTGTAGATAGCCTGGACAAGGATGGAGTTGAGGAGGTCAGTTTCTACTATGAGAAGTTATATATTGTTGTAGCATTGTGTATAAGAGCTCCAACTAGCTTCATTTGTAGGTTGTGATAATCGCCACTGAACTCTAGGATCACTAATATATCAGTCTCTGAAATTTTATTCGTAATGAACTTGTCATCGAAGTTGGTGTTAATTGGTGATAATTGGAGAAAACGCAACATGGAGGGTAAGGAGATTGTGTGATTATGTCGATTTGAGGTTTGGGTTTGGAACTGGATTGAATATGGATTGAAATGGATTATCACGTTGGCTAATGAGGGTCTCTTTAGACATTATTTTTGTAATTAATCTCCATGAGTTGGCTTGCTAAACTTGAAAATTTTGTCAAAATTTTTTATGGAAATGGATGGAGTGGCTATTATAGTTGATTGAATTTTCAGTGACAAATTACCATGTTACAGGTACTTGATGCTATGGAGGAGTACGGAATCAAGCCTGACGTGGTGACCTTCAGCATGATAATGGATGCATGGGGATCTGCAGGTATCATGGACCAATGCCTAGAGATATTCAACGACATGTTGAAAGCTGGAATCGAACCAGACATCCATGCATTCAGCATCCTCGCGAAAGGTTACGTGCGAGCTGGGGAACCAGATAAGGCTCAGTCGGTTCTGGCATCCATGGGACACTACAACGTGCGCCCAAACGTAGTAATATGCACCACCATCATCAGCGGCTGGTGTAGTGCTGGAGAAATGGACACTGCAATGGAAGTCTACGAGAGGATGTGTGAGATAGGGATTTCGCCGAATTTGAAAACGTTCGAGACTCTGATATGGGGATATGGAGAGGCCAGGCAACCATGGAAAGCACAGGAGTTGCTGCAAATCATGGAGGAGAAAGGAGTGTCTCCAGGGAAGAGCACTATGCAGCTCATTTCAGATGCCTGGCTAGCCGTTGGTTTAACAAGTGAAGGCAAGAGAATTGTGAATGAAGGAGAAGAAGCAGCAGCAAATTCTAAGGTTGCTTTAGATACAAGAGAGGATGAGTTCCCGAAAGACCTAGATCTCTTGGCCTCTTATTCCAACGTGTTGGAGTTTCCTGGAGGTACTCTGAAGGGTCCAAATGGATCATCATCTCCTGTTGTTAAGATGAGAAGCCAAATGATTCTAAAAAGCCCCAGGTCTGCATCAGAGACCTTATTGCCAAGTCAGAAATCAAAGTTCTTTTTTCGCGCATCTGGTTTTGGAAGGCAACCACGAGTTATCTGTAGAAGGCAGGATCAAAGCTTTTATTGCATTTGTGGGAAGTTCATGAGATCATGTGGCATCTTGTCCATTGCGTAAAGATGGTGGAGCTCATGTTACCTGCTTCTATGCTTGTAAGGTGTCGAAGAACAGTATGCGGTATTTTGGAATGAACTCTCAGAAGTGCTTCCTGAAGTTGTAGATACACATTTGTTGTTGTATTGTAATTGAAACCACAGTGCTTAGCTTCTTTTGTTATTGACTACACATGTAGCCTGTAGGTAACATTGTATGCAAATATCTCCTCGAATTGCCTTACAGCTATATCCAGATGGGTAGACATGTTCATAAACTATAATGTGCAGCAGGCAGATTGTGTTGCTCTTAGCCTCAATGTCGTCTTGTGGATCACAAGATAAGTTTTGCGTCTTGCGATTTTTCCAAAGAGTTCTAGCCTGTATAGTTTGCTCTTTAGAGTAGGGATTAATCACCTAACTCTAGACATAGATCATAGTGGATCACAAGATAAGTTTTGTGTCGCTTGCATCTTTTCCAGTGTGTTCTTACCTGCATAGTTTGCTCTTTAGAGTAGAGCAGAGATCGATCAAGTAACTCTAGACATAGATCATTGGTATTGGATGTGTGTAAAATATGCTTGTTCATGAAACTATACTCCAACAGTGGCGGAGCCAGGTTGTAAAACTAGACGTGTCCTTTTTTTAAAATCTAAATAATTATTTAATAATTAAAATTAAAATTGAATGGAAACTAGCGGACTAAAAAAGAGAGAGCCCAGTAACAGAGGCTTCTGTTTAAATTTCATAGTTCTTGGACAAAATTGAATAAAATAATTGAGAAAAAATAACCCAAATAGAGATTTATTTCAATTGAAGATTTCATTAATAGCGTATAAATTAATTTTAGGACTTTGCTACGGTGACATGCATGTCACGGTGACATGCACTTTTCGGTCGACCTCATATAATCTGTTGTTTTAGTGTAAAAACAGTATCATGGTTCCTACTTTGGAGATTCATATCTTACAATTGGCTAGATGGAAATTGGAGATTAAAGGCTTGTTTTGAAGCTGAAGTGTCCCTCTACACATTAAAGTACTTGGGAGCTCAATAGAAAGTCCAGAAGACCATTTTTGAACCTGACCAAAAGGCTATGCCAAAACTGAGAAACTACCTGAAAATGGCTAAGTCTGGCAACGTGTTTGTCAAGCCTACTTTGGAGCTCAATTTGAGAAGCATGGATGCGAGTCAAGTCCAGGGGCCTCTACCACGTTAAATTATGTATTTTTTTATACAAAGGCAACGCATTGGATGAAAGATTGAATATCTTTAAGGCTTCAAACAAAAGGCTCGAAGTTGCTACAAAGGCTATTTTTCTGGCAGCTTGCTTGTGCTCGAAGTCTGCCAGAAAACAACATTTGTAGCAACTTCGACCCTTTTGTTTGAAGCCTTAAAGATATCGAATCTTTCATCCAATGCCTTGAATTTGTATAAAACATACCTAATTTAACGTGGTAGAGGCTCCTGGACTCGACTCGCATTCATGCTTCTTGAATTGAGCTCCAAAATAGGCTTCACAAACACGTTTCCATACTTTGCCATTTCCCGGCAGTTTCCTAGTTTTGGCATAGCCTTTTGATGAGGTTCAAAAATGGTATTATGGACTTCCTATCGAGCTCTCAATCACTTCAATATGTAGAGGGACACTCCAGCTTCAAAACAAGTCATTAGTCTTCAATTTCCATCTAACCAATTGTATGATATGAATATCCAAAGTAGGCACCATGAACTGTTTTTACACTGAAACAACAGATTAGGTCGACCTGATCCTATATGAGGTCGATCGAATCCTAAATGAGGTCGACCAGATCCTATATGAGGTCGACCGAATTCTAAATGAGGTCGACCTAAGCCTAACTGAGGACGACGGGAAAGTGCAAGTCACCGTGACATGCATGTCACCATAGGCACACCCTAAACATTATGTTTCATCAACCACTAACCTAGCATTGACCTAGTATGTATGATAACAAGTTTATTTACTAATCAGGGTTAAAGATAAAGTAAACTTTTTATATAAGTTTAGATATTAACAGTAGATGTGTCTACAACACATCCACACTTCATGTATGTGAAATGTCACAATTTTTGTATGGGCATTAAATTTTAATAAAGTAGAATTTCCAAAAAATAATAATTTAATTGTTCAAGAACTAACACCAAAAATAAGGAAAATTTTACAAATGTACATTAAAAAAGTTGAAAAATTATACACTAAAAGATCATGTTAAGAAGAGAACCTTGATAGTGTGTGAGAGTTTCTTGGTTTTAAATTCTAAGCCAACATATAAACAACAACCACTGATTGAGAGTTTATCCAAACTTCAAGAATTATCAATTGATACATATTAAGTAAATAAAATTTAATAGCTAAAGCTTTCAAAAAAATTTAATTATTAGCCGAACCATTAAAAATAGGGTTAATAGCATTTTGTACCCCTCTACTATGATCAATCAACAAACGTACCCTTCTACTAAATTTTTGTACAAATATACCTCTAAAATTAAAACATAACTAATGTACCCTTCCATCCAATTTTCTGTTAAGTGATCATTAAAGTGGTTGTGAAATAACTCAATTACCCCTCATTTACTCTTAAATACTCCATTTCTATTTTAATTATTTTATATGTAACAAATCAATTAATTAAAAAATAAAAACCTAATTAACACGCATTCCGAAAATCATCGGTCTCCGGGGAGGAACAGCTTCGCCCTCTCCCTCCTAGCCGCCTCGCTAATCTGCCTAGCCCCAAGACTGTTGGGCTACTTCTCGCCTCTCTAGTCTCTACCTCTTCACCGGCCTCTTCCTCGTCGCCATCGTCTTCTTCGAAAAGATGTCCCTTCTCGCCGCCGATCCCGATCTCTGCGGCGACAAAGCTGCTAAAGGCCTGCTGGACTACGTCACCGGGCAACTGCCCACTGCCGAGGCTGATTTACCAGAGCGCTTTGAGTCGGCCAGCCGAAGAACATGACCGACATTTGAACTTTTTTCCTCCAAATCTCTTCGATTTCTTTTTTGTGGCTCAAGTTAGGGTGCATAACCATGGGTTATGCACCCATCAATAACCAAATCTGGACCATTCATTTAGAAAATCCAGATCTAAGGATGGAGAATTAAAGGCTATTTTTATTTTCACTAGCTTTCTTAATTGACTCATATCTTTTTCGTTTTAACTCGGATTTTAAATTTTTTTGCACAGATGGAACGAGTTCATCGTGCTCTACAAAATGAGATCAATTTTCAATATTTTTGAGGAAAAAAAATTCTGGCCTCTCGGTACCAACTACATACCATATGGTATCTTCTTCGTTTTTAATTCGTTTTTGAAAACGTTTGCACAACAAGGACGAGTTCATCATGATCTATTGGATCTACAAATTTTTGGGTGAACAAATTACAAGAACAAAAAATATCACATAATACCATACAATACCACCCTGGTACGGGGTGGTATCTTATGGTATCTTATGGTATACAATGTTAAAAGTCGTAAATGACAATTAATATACTTCTACTATCATGTATTCAATCATCCTACAAATTTCTGGGTGAAAAGATTACAAGACCAAAAAATACCACATAATACCATACAATACCACCCTGGTACGGGGTGGTATCTTATGGTATACAATGTTAAAAGTCGTAAATGACAATTAATATACTTCTACTATCATGTATTCAACCATCCTACAGTTTTAGTTTGTGTCATACCACCATGGTACCCTTTTCAAATCGTAGGTATGCTCTTATTTCAATATCAGTCAATACCATATGGTATAGACTGGTAAAAAATGGCTCAATTTTTTTTTGTTCGAAAATATATCAAAGTGGATATCATTTTGAAAAGCACAATTAATCTGATCTAACTGTCCAAAAAAAATTAAATTTCGACTTAAAACGAGTGAGAAATCGTCCGTCAAAGATTAAAGAGGGGAAAATTAAAGACTTTTCACAAGAGAGAGGATGCTAATGTCATGCTGATGTGGACAGGTTACTCATAGTTACTTACTATAAGGTTATTGACCTGATCCGTTCCCTTTTTTGTAGTTGTTTTTTGTTGGGTTTGTTCGTTCTCCCCTTTCCGGGGCTCAAGATAGGGTGCATAACCATGGGTTATGCACCCATTAATAACCAAATATGAACCCTTCATTTAGAAAATCCAGATCTAAGGATGGAGAATTAAAGACTATTTTTATTTTCACTAGCTTTCTTAATTAACTCATATCTTTTTCGTTTTAACTCGAATTTTAATTTTTTTTGCACAGATGGAACGAGTTCACCGTGCTCTACAAAATGAGATCAATTTTCAATATTTTTTTAGGAAAAAAAATTCTGGCCTCTCGATACCAACTGCATACCATATGGTATCTTCTTCGTTTTTAATTCATTTTTGAAAACGTTTGCACAGCAGTGATGAGTTCATCATGATCTACTGGATCTACAAATTTTTGGGTGAACAAATTACAGGACCAAAAAATACCACACAATACCATACAATACCACCCTGGTACGGGGTGGTATTGTATGGTATCTTCTTCGTTTTTAATTCGTTTTTGAAAACGTTTGCACAGAAGGGACGAGTTCATCATGATCTATTGGATCTACAAATTTCTGGATGAACAAATTACAGGACCAAAAAATACCACATAATACCATACAATACCACCTTGGTACGGGGTGGTATTGTGTGGTATACAATGTTAAAAGTCGTAAATTATAATTAATATACTTCTACTATCATGTATTCAACCATCCTACAGTATTGGTTTGTTCATACCACCATGGTACGTTTTTCAAAACATAGGTATGTTTTTATTTCAATACCAGTCAATACCATATTGTATATGCTGGTAAAAAATGGCTCAATTTTTTTTGTTCGAAAAATATATTAAAGTGGATATCATTTTGAAGAGCACAATTAATCTGATCTAACTGTGCAAAAAAAATTAAATTTCGACTTAAAATGAGCGAGAAATCGTCCGTCAAAGATTAAAGAGGGAAAAATTAAAGGCTTTCCATGAGAGAGAGGATGCTGATGTCATGCTGATATGGACGGGTTACTCATGGTTACTCACCATAAGGTTACTCACCTGATCCATTCCCCCTTTCCGGTCGTTTGTAGTCGACCAAAGTTGGACGGTGAGATTGAGAATTGGAAGATGAGGAAACGCTTCGTATTAGTTATTAATGATAATTAGTTAATACTTTTCTTTGTATTCTCCCCTCCCCAGGTGTATTGTATTTTAGTTTGAATTTCCGGTCACCTGAAGTGGCGGTGGTGT